ACACACACACACACACAGACCAACACAGACACACACACACAGACCAACACACACAGACCAACACAGACACCATGACAGAATCTTGATCTCCCCCTGGTGGCTCTCTGCGGTACAGCTCATGGATCCACTGGATGAAACTTTATTGAGTCTGCAGGATGTTGACATGGTGAACATTGTTTACTCTAACAACATGTAAACATGGTCACGTGTCCTGCCCACTGACAAGGGAGAGGCGGGGCTTATGGCCTGTACTGCAGGTAGCCGCCAGAGGGCGATCGAGACGCTTTTGGCTTCACTTTGGTAGTGACGTCACTGGCACGTCACGGCTCACCTGTTGAGCAGCACGGTGACGCAGAGCAGCGTCATCAGCAGGCAGCAGAAGAGCGGGTAGTGACGTCCCGCCTCCGTCAGCCTCCGCCTCACGTCCTCCAGGAACCACGGAGCCGCCATCGGTCGCTCCGGTTAGCTAATGTTAGCTCCGGTGAGCTAACCCTTACCTTCCGCTCGGTTGACGGTGTTTATCCGGTTAAACTCGCGGGTTCCCGGTGGACCAGTCACGTCATGTTCCGGTGCTGGACCTCAGCTCCTCATTTAAAAACAACTCTACAGTTTCTACTTCCTGTTTGTTTCTGAGCCCTGACACTTCCGCTGCGTCACCTCCGGTTCCTGGGATGCCAGGTCTGAGAGAGACTCACGTAACGACGCTTACGAAACCAGATCACGTGACAAACCGACTCCAGGTTAATGAGATCAGAGAAAATCCGCTTTTATTATGAAAGAGACAGGATGAATAATGTTTCACTGCTTCAGTTCATGAGTGAAACTTCATGTAAAGTTTAACAACAATGATATGTGGGATTATTATCTGTAATCCTGTAAAGTGTGTGTGAGCACAAATCAAATGAATTATTATAAATGAGTCAAATAAAAATAAACTCACCGTGTTCAGATTTGAACGTTTGTTAGTTCCTCTAAAGTTCACGTACGATACTGTCACCATGGATCTTAGTTGAACCTTTAAGTTTTTTCTTTTCTTGTTCTATGAAGTCATGACAGGTTTTGTTTCCTAATCTGATGTTTTACTTTTATTCACTTTAGTTGATTCTGTTTTTTTTCAAATAACTGATCATCTGTTTTATCTCTGAAGCTTGGACAGAAAATAGTGAACATTGGCATCTTGATTTCTTAAAGTCCAATAACTTCACATCTATTAAACTGTAATCTGGAGTATTTCAGTTACTGCAGGATAAATATGAGTTATAATAGCTGTTGTGCTTAATTGCAATCAACTCTAACACACCAAGTCTTTTTCCTGAGGCAACCTCTAATCCCACTGATGTCACTGGTTTTCTGTTGGATTATATCTAGAGATCACAAATTGTGATTTAAATTCTATTTACAACTTAATCTGAGTTTTTATCAACTGACAATAAAAAGCAACATATAACTCCCACTATTCATTTATAATATAGTTTATATCTGATTTGATGAGTATTTACCAAATCATTATTTAGCTGCACAGATTAAGACCATTATTCAAACAGTTATTTTAAGAATTGCAGGGGCTGTAAAATAAAAGCACAACCAAGGTCAAAGTCATCAACTTTATTAGAAAAATAGGTTTAACTCACCTCACTGTACAAGTATAAAACAATTCATTTGCAAGAATGCAAACACTTGTTAGCAAAACAAACAAAACATTTCTTGACCCTTAAATTCCAAAAGAGTCAGCAAGATTTTCACAAACTGGGTTTGAAGAAAAATAAAACAAGCTGCACAATTCTGTCTGAACTGAGAAATAAAACACGAGTCACAAAAAGAAATAGAAAGAAAACAAACTGATGTCTAAAGACTTTAAGGTTCAGTGTGTAAGATTTAGGTGAAAGAATCTTTCGGCAGAACTTGAATATAAAATAATCCTTGTGACGTTTTCACTGTTTTCATCTACATTGTGTGAATTGTGGTTTTCTTTACCATAGAAATGATCTTTATGTTTAAAAATTGTATATTCACATGGGGGGGGGTCCTCTCTGCGGAGGCCGCCATGTTTTTTTTTTATTGTCGTCCAAACTGGACAAACTAAAACCTTTGAGTTTTCATGACAACTGAAGTTCACCACAGGTTCTCCGTCATGTTGGGAAGGGGGGGTGAGATGAGGAGTATTCAGCTGCAACATGACACTTCACCTCTAGATGTCGCTAAATTCTACACACTGAACCTTTAAAGGAGAAATCCAACCTCAAGAGACTGATTCAATCAGTTATTTTGTGATGTTAACTCCAAACGGTCTCATTCTGTGACTTCCATCAATCCGCAGAATGTGAACGAGGATGTTTGAGCACAACCTGATCGCTGCTCGTCAGTGAATCAGAGTTTGAGAAACATCATAATATTGTATTTAATATCGAGGATGTTTCTTCCAGTTAAGTTTCTTCTCTCCAGTCATCAGAGCTGCTGAACTGTTGGTTTCTTTATAGAAAGTAAAGATTATTACTAATGAGCTAAACTGCTGTTTCTGACTGTCCGAAGAGTTCATCCACAAAGTTTCAGGTTGTCAGGATGGATCTGCTCCTTTAAAGTCGTAACATCTTCATGTCATAGAGAAGACATGATTCAACATGGTTTACAGGAAACATTTGTCACGACCACATACAGCTCGTAGCACCATCATCAGTCTACACCAGACCTGCTCAAAGACTTGATAAGTAAGTCAGCTTCACTGCTCCTTCCTGTTCGTGCACCAACACGACATGTTGGTGCAGTGAAGACGACCCGAGAATCACTTTGTGAACAAAAACAACATTAAGACAGTTTTCCCATCATGGGGACAAAGCTATGACTGTGGTTTCCAGGCATTAAAGATTTTACAAAGAAAAGTAGAAAGCTAGAAAACGCCTGTCCGTTAGCGACATCATTGCTCATCACGTTCAGGGACAGCGATGCTTGTTCAGGCTCATCTCAGGAGCAGCTGCAGCCTGCGTCACGTCTCCACTGAGAACTGTGACTCTTTAAGTGCTGGTTGTTGTTGACTGTGCATCTTTATCTCAGGAGGGGGAGGAGCATAGACTGTGAATAAAGATGGACGACATGACGGCTCTCAGCAGTGAAGCTAAACTGTGTCAATCACCTGCTGCTGGATGAATATAGCGAAGGTCGTAAAGCCCAACTCCTCCCACATTGGTAGATGGGACATGGAGTAAACTAATAACTCCAGATAATCTCATGTCATTCTCCGAGGGGCTGAAAGATGAGGAGATTCCAGAGCTTTAGGTGATAGGGGCCGACGCCGGAGTGGATGAGCTTTAAATTTGAATTGGCGAGACGTAGATACCACAGCTCCACGCCACGAACACCACTGCAGACTCCAAATGTGCAAGATGGCAGCCTTCGTATCCACGATATCGTGGCTTCTTTTCTAGACAGTGGGAGGAAGCTGAGGCGCGGCGTCCATCTTTATTTACAGTCTATGATTTAGAGGGAAAGGGGGGAGGGGGGGCTGCCTCCGTTTCCTCAAATACAAAAAGAAACGGTGCAGACGTGTCCTCGAAACTGAGGAAGTTAACGAACCCTCGCTGGCTTTAGTTCAGAAAAGAACCAGTGTTTCTGGAATGCCCGACCTTAAACGGCGGGTGATCGTCACACCTCAACTCTACCTGATAATCCCAGATTATCTGATAACCGCAGATCATCATGTCTAGTCCATCGTAAAGATGAAGTTTAAAAGCTAAAAGGAAAAAAAGTAGCATCAAGTTCCATTAAAAATCAAAAGAAAGTGCACAGACTTTTCCAGAAGGATGTCCATCGTGAACTCACTCAGTCGTAACTGTGGTTGGGTCTTTTAAAACTTAAGAGTCATTGCGTTTATACAATAATAATAAGAAAAAAAACATGTTTTGCTTCTGGTTTTAAAAAACTTGGCAGTTTCAGGAGAAAAAGGCTGGAATACGACTGGACCACTGAGTCAGGTGACCTTACCATTCCATCCTCTGGCAGCCTGCAGCGTGCAACGCCATACGCTGGTCAGTCTTCATAGTGACGCGTCAGGTCCGGCCTCAACCCCTTTTACCTGCTAGTCAGGTAACAAAAGGAAGCAATTAGAGAATGGAAAACAGGATCGGATTACAATCTGCACAGGCATCTACTGTTCTGTGTCCCTCACACACACAAACACACACTCTGAGAACTGTGCCACAAGTAGAACGTGAATTTACAAACATTAGAAGACAAAGCACGCTCTCACAGACGCCCTCTGACGTTACATGCACATGTCAATGCCTTAAAGAGGGCGACAAGCACGAGTCGGCCCGGTTGGGATAAAAAAAAAAAAAGTGTTTGAGGTGCAGCGGGTGAAAACGCAGGACACGGGCAAAGAGGAGGGAGAGGGGTGGGGGTGGGGTAAAGAGCAGCCACGTCTATGAAAGCAACAGGAACATAAAAACACTACGAGCGAGTCATGCACGGCAGCGCTCTACCACAGCAGCAAGATCAAACCTCCAGATATAACATGCAAGATTAGTATCCAGGCCTTCAACAGCTAGGTAGATCCTTCTGGGACAAGGAAAAGCTTCACTTTGAAGTCAATCAAATTGTGCCTTTACCCCCCCCCCCACACCACCAGTAACAAACGGCACTAGTATGACAGACTTGTAGGGGGCGGGGCTTACTCTCTACTCTGCTTTGACAGTGAATTTAGGACACCAATTTGTGAGACATATGTTTTTGGACATGAGAGGAACTCATAAGGATGAAGTATGTCAGTACACATACAGAAACACTCGGAGAGATGCTCACTATAGAAGTAGGTGATTTGGAATTTGATGGCATGCAAGGTGACACTGTAGCATGTGGCCAACACTGGCAAACCTTGAGTCCATTTCCTTCCACAAGGAGCCTTAAAATTTGAAGGCAATTTGAAGAGAGAATTTGCCGAAACATGAATTTGCAACACAATTTGAAGTTTTGTACACGTGTGCGTGTATGTTTATTAAAGCAGACAAACAGCAAAAGGATACAAGCCAAAATGTAAAGCCAAAAAATAGGACTACGACGGTCCTTTTTTTTTTTTTTTCTTCTTTTCAATAACAAGACACGCATTACTTTGTGACAATACAAATTGTATTTTCATTTGTTTTAAATACATGTTTAGGAGACATATGCTTTGTTGCTGTTAGCTACTTAAAACATGATAACCAGAATGTCTAAAAACATACATAAAGCTAAAGCCAAATAGACAGCTCCACCACAGGATTGCAGCTAAAATTTTTCACCTTTTGTTATGGAAACTCTTTTTTAACGACCATCTTAAAAAAAATAAAAATTAAAAGAAAACCAGTTCGCCAGAAACAGGGAGTGTGACTACTATTTGAGTCCAAGCGGATTATTAAAATATGTACAAAAAGTTATCTTGCCAGATGTCACCAATTTTGAGGAAAAAATGCCGGCAACCGTATGGGATTGAGGGCCAATCAGATCAAGTCTCTAAATAAAAAAAGACACCAACAAAAACAAACACGTATTTAGTTATCAAAGCCCTACTGGTTTACTTCCACTGTTGCCCAAAAGAATCCTGATAAAATTCCTGGTTGTCAGATTTGTAACCAGAATAGTTACCAGAATGATCACCACCTTGGAGCGGTTGCTGAGCAATGGGTTGAGAGCCCCAGTTCTGATTATTGGTTTGGCGACGCTTGGAATCTGGCTGGTTGTACCCATCAGCTTTGCGCTTTCCTCCTACATTTCCACCGCGGCCACCCCGCGCACCACGTACCCCTCCTCGCCCTCTCGGCTGCACTCCTCCTCTTGCGCCGCGCCCGCCACGGCCTGGTCCTGGCCCGCCACGCTGGGAGAAGTTGGCCCTGCCCCTAGGTGCACCAGCGCCGCCACGTCCTCTGGATGGAGAGGCTCCCCCTCGTGAGCCCCTGTTTCCACCACGCCCTCGGCTCGGGCCCTGGAAGTCGTCGTAGCCGTAATAGGGGTCATCGTAGCCGCCACGATAGTTGTGATAGTCATAGCCATAATAGTCATAGTAGTCCTCGTAACCGTAGTAGTCAGGTGGGTAAGAGTAGCCACCCCGGTTGCCACCTCTGCCCCGGCCTCTCGCAGGCGGTGGCATGTGGGGAGGGGGAGGGTAGTAGTAATAGTCATCATACCTGATTAAAACAAAAACCAGCGTGAAATTAACGACATGATGAGAACAACACCAGAGAGCAGTGACCTGAAACAAAAGACGGTTCTCACATTTGTGTTTTGGCAGCTTGTCTCTGGGCTTTACGCTCCTTCCTTTTCTGATCTGGTGGTTTAGCAAAAACAATCTGAATCGCATCCCCCTCCAGGTCGGTCCCGTTCAGTTCCTCCAGCGCCTGTGAAACACGAGTGACATTTGTACAAACGTCTTTAGACTCAGGCCGATGAACTGATGTACGAGACAACCGTCCCAAAAAATCGGAAGTGAATCTGTACCTTCACTGCTCCGTCCCGCTCTTCAAAGTGAATGAAAGCGTAATCTTTGAGCTTCTTCACTCGCTCCAGGTTTCCAAATGCACTGAAGGACTTTTCCAGGATCTCCTCCGTCACACCGTTGGAAAGATTTCTCACAAATAAAACCTTCACCTGTGAAATGGACAAGGAGACGATCACACCTCACGTCAGTCTCTACTGATCAGTATATATGTCGACCAGAAGACATTTATTGAATGAGGTCAAAGAAATGCTACAACTTGGACTTCTGAATCTCACCTTGGACATGACCTCTGGGTCGGGGTCTTCGATGGGATCAGCCCACTCCACTGTCACCACGTTGCCCCACACCTTCACCTTCCCGCTCATTAGCCGGCGACGGGCCTGAGCGGCCGTTTTGTGGTCCTCATACTCCAGGAAGCAAAAGCCGCGGTTCTTCTTTTTGTCGTCAGGCTGGTGATACAGTATGACATCACTGAGGCCCTCTGTTCAGTCCAGAAAACAAAAACAGAAATTAAGTCTTTAAAATCAGAACACGTCACAGAAGTTGTCCGATGTGACAAAAAACAGCAGCGGGGATGTGACAGGAATTCAAATGTATTAAAACTGGAATTATCTTTACCTGTGACTTTAGCGAATTCTTCGACAATCTGCTCCTTTGTTTTACTCTTGGGAATAGAGCCGACAAATAGCCTGTTGTTGGCGACAGATATACAAACCCCGATGTGCTTTCCAGGGCGAATCTCATGATTATTACACTGTAACAACACAAAGATTCACGTCACTGACAGTTGACAAATTCACCCGTCAGAGTTTCTCTGTAAACAATCGTTTGAGACTCTTTTCCAAACTCCTGCCATGCGACTCGGCTCTTGTTCCTGAGAGACTCACCAGCTTCACCGCCTCCTGAGCTGCCTCTTTAGTACAGAACGTGACGAAGGCATAGCCCCTGTTCATGCCGCTCAGCGGGTCCATCATTAGCCTGAGATCCCAGATAGAACCAGCCTTCTCAAACAGAGGAACCAGCTCGTCTTCAAACAAGTCACGGGGAATCTTTCCGACGAATATCTTGGAGAAACACAGAGAACAAAATCCCAGCCGTCAATCAGGACCTTTCATTTTTACAGACAGTTTTGGTTTGTTTTCACGTTCTCTGAAGTGTACCTCTGTTCCGACTGTGGGTTGGGCCCCTGAGTACACCGACTCAGGCGGGGGGCCTCCATACTTTCGCTGTCCTGTTGTGACGTCCAGCGTGTAGTTGGTTCTGTCCAGGAGTTCTTTGATTTTGGCCTCATCGGGTCCTTTAGTGGAATCTGAAACCTTTGTCCCTTGTTTCTCCCTCTGTCTGTATGTCTTCATTACACCACAGAGAAAGGCACTTTTGTTCTGGAAGAGAAAACAATTGTGTCACAAACACACACTATTAATATTCATGTTCTCTAAAAATCAGCATGTAGAGGAAAGGACACAACAAAACTGAGGACAAGTTCACTCAAGTCCTGTCAATTTAACTCTGTTTTATTCATTTAAAGCCGAAGCTAATGAAGGATGAAGACCAGGTTTGGAAAGTTGTGTGGATTTATACAAACACCACTCAGACCAAAACTGAGAAATCTGTGGCGTTCACTAGTTCTATTACAACCAACTATAAATTCATACCATTGATCGTTTGTTTACCAGGATTGTACTTTAGACGTGGTTCATCTAAACTTCCTGTTTGTCATTACGCAGATCAAATACAACAAACTCAAAATAACGTACATTTAATATTTGAGTGACATTTGACAGGTGTGCTCAGTTTAGTTGGCAGAAACACCCTCTCCACTACGGTCTGTAACAAAGACCCCTTTGTGTGTCAGAGTCACACCTAAAAGAGGGCGTGTTCACAGCTTACCTGCACGTGTGACAGGTCGCTCTCTTTGAACTGAACCAGCACTTGCAGGGCTCCCTCCTCGTTGAATTCTTTCAAAGCTTCAATAGCCCGTTCGTCGAGGTCACTATGTGCTACCAGGCCTGAAATTCACAACCAAACACACAAACTGTAAATATGGTGTTATAAACATGATGATCTGTGCCAGAAGAAAACTATTTCATTAAAGCTTTCTTACTTTTAACAATCATTTCCCCCGTGTCAAATAAAAACATCCCTGTGGCTGCTGCTCAAAGAGAACAATTCACAGACTGCAGCCCAACAGCTGCTTTATTGTGTCTGCACAGAACCAGCTGGCTTCCATCTACCATCCTTAAACCCTTTAGAGCTACACCCATCCTTTCACCCTTTCAATCCAGTCTCACACTCAGCTGCACGTCAATACTCGGGCTGAGAAACGTATTGATGTGCAACAAAGAAGGTACTTAAGGCAGATCACAGGAGAGTTTATTGATCCCGTGGCAGAAATTCACCTCCTGTTATTTAACCTGCACAAATGATTAGATTAACAACTTTAAACCAGGCCCACATTTAGTCATTAGCTGAGTTCAGTACAGAGGATTAGTTTGTTTTCCAGGTCTCTGTTTGTTTTTCTCTGGAGAAGGTGCAGACTAGAGACAACAGCGGTGCACAGCCTGAGATCGAGCCTCTGCTTACCTGCTACATAAAGTTCATCTAACTTCTCAGCGACCTGCTGAGGTAAACCAGCTTCCAGTAAAGCCTGGAAGTGTTCTGAGTGGGTCGCAGCTGCTGTAGTGTCCATTGGTTCCTCTGTGCCGTTTCCATTTACATGATCGGGGGCCAGGTCTCCAGTATCATCAGGGGCCATGTCTCCAGCGTGATCTGGGTCCATGTCTCCAGCGTGATCGGGATCCATGTCTCCAGCATGATCGGTGGCCATGTCTCCAGACATCTGTGCAGATGAGATAAAGAGAAGAACACTGATTCAAGGATGATTCAACTGATGCTGCTGAAATCAAATCAAACACTGCAGCTTACTACTTGGAGACATCACATCCATCCTGAGTCATAACACTGAGAGCCCCTCCAATAACAGCGTCATGAACAAGTGTTGTGAACGTCCTAACAATACATTAAGTTCAATGAGTGGAGAGTAAACAGATCGTATTCACAGGAGAGAAGCTGCCACATGAGACCAACAGCTTCAGCTCTGGATCACTGATCAAACCACCGTGTGCAACAGAGATCAGAGCCCGAACAACAGCTCCTTTCCCCCGGTACGAGCTCCAGGCTGAGCCCGGTCAGGATCTGGTTACAGACCAAACTACATCAACACATTTCGTGCGGGTTTTGGCGCCATCGTTCGAGACTGGACTCAGTTTACAAACCGCATCTGCGCTGATGCTGCTCATGTTGTCGGACACAGCCTCCCGGGGCCTGGTTCACGGGGCCCCACACAGATCACACTGCCCGCTCACGTTTATAGACGAGTAATAATCGGTTACTACAACAAACTGGTTCCACACACACCCACCACGCCTCTGTTAGCTCCCTGTCAGCGAGCTAACCCCGGCTGTGCAGCCCGCAGGCCCCGCGGCTCCAGCACACGCGTGGCGGAGCAAAGAGAGAGAGGCTGCCGGCCCCGCAGCGAGTGACAGGGCGGAGCCGCCTCTGGCTCCGGCTTCTTTAAACGGAGTCCTCGCCGCCGGATTCAACCTCACGCGTTCAACCGGCCGCTAATCCAAGCGGGCCCGTTTTTCAAAATGCCGGCTCGGCGCTGCGCTGCTAACAGTGACCGGTCCGCCGGTGAGCTCAGAGAACGAGCCCGGCTACAGAACCACACACGGCGGAGACCCCGCGGCGTCCCCGGGGAGAACGTACCGTGAAACCCTGGGTGCAGGACGCTGCTCTGCCGTGGGGACGGTGCTGCGGGTGATGGAGAAGATTGACGCCGGCGCTGCTCCGCTGGTTTCTTTACTCCCGGTGAAACAAAATGGCGACTGCGTAACGTCGCGAGCTCTGCTTCTTCGTCTGCACGCGAGGGGTTTCCCGCGCTGCTCACCACGGGCTGCTCACTTTCCATCTGTTACTTCCGGTTCGTGTCCGTTTCCACCGAACAGCTGATTTGTGTTTGTTTCTCTCGGCGCTGATCAAACCTGCACACATCTCACTCAGCCCCGATAAAACTCCCTGCTTCAGCGTTAGCCAGCGTTACCTTGGTTATTAGCTTAGCGTTAGCCTCGTGTTGCTGCACCTTACACGTGTTTTCACTCTGATCTTAACTGTCAACAAAACCGACCTTTTAAAATAATGTCTATAAATCTACATTAACTCCACGTTACACTTTCAGTGGAGTTTTTAATTCAATTTTCGCAGCTAGTTGCATCCTTTATTTTGAAAACTAAAACCGGAAAAACAAATTGCGATAGAAACCTTTCACAGTAAACTTCACCTGGAAAAGCTTTTAGTGATAAATAGATTGATAATATTGGATTTG